TAGCTGCAACGAAATATATCGTATATGGAGCTATATTCAGACACAAATTCGTAGCTCGAGTAAAAAGCGATTACTCCATCATTCTTTATCTGTCTCGTGTAGATTTTTTATACACAAACCACATATCGAATGCATAGATTGGTAATTGAAGGTGAAAGAGTGATTTTTATCTATTCGATATACCGTAGATTTTCTTGGATGAAAAATATTAATTCATATTCGAATCGAAATATATTCAAGTTTTAACAAGCAAAATCTTTAATGATGTATTTTCTTTTCGTCTCATTTTACATACGTTCATTGTCAAGATAGACTTTGCCATTAGGAATTACCTTAAAACGAAAGATTTCAGTAAATTATTTGAAAATCTTTCAAGGAACCCAAATGATGCATGATGATAACTAGTACAATCTTCTATTCTTTCAATTGTGATCAATTAGAGAAACGAAATTTTATATTCAACATCGATTCAACTTTATCTTTGTATTATGACTAGAGGTGTTAGCCGCCGGTTTTTCGCCGCCGCCGCCGGTAAAATTTTCATCCGCCGCCGCCGAATAGAACGTCTCGGCGGGAACTTTTCCGCCGCCGCCGCCGCCGATCGAGTGAAGGGTCACATTTCAAGCTTCCTCTTTTCTAGATTATCACTTGTTGATAATAATCAGTAATATCTCAAGTTTGATCTATGTGACAATTAGAGATTGCTGAAACCAACAGAACTTTTAAAAAATAGGAATTAGTGTATTTTTTCTTGGATGACATATGGTCTGAAAACCGAGCTGATAAGAAAATATGTCTCCTTGTGATTTTGTGATGCTACCATATTTATTAGGTTTTCATTTGCATTATTCCTTCATGCACAATAGATTCATCGCTATTATTTTCTTCGCTTCGCGATTTTTGACTTATTCAGTATGCAGTTTCGACTAACTGTCTAGTTTGAGTTCGAATATAGATGTAACTAACATTGCGATTCGAATTCGAATTCCAATCGACACTCTCCTACCAGTTTAGAAAAAAGAAAAATATTTAGTTTCAATTTGAATTTAAATGATCAATGAAAACAAATCTTGCTCTTTTTGTCCACTCACAGAAAAGTATCGATTTAAATTTGGATTCAAATTCTAATTTCAATGTTAGTTTCACTTATGATCTAATTCGCGCTAGCATAGGGATGGCACATTATCTTTATTTTACTTTGAAAAAGTAAAGTAAAGTAAAATAGAGTAAAGTAAAATACTATAGTTCGAATGTGGAAAATAAAGTGAGATAAAGTTAACCAAACAATATTTTTTATGTATCCATAAAAAACCGATATTTTTCGGCTTTACTTATTTTTGTTCACACTAATTTTAAGACGAAACGATATTGAAAAAACTTTGATACGTTCTAAGATTATTTCTACACGATCCTGAACTAAGAAATTGCCAAAAAATTTAAAACATACAACTTCATTTTTTTGGTTACAGTCTAGAATGTCCTTTCGAAAATGTCCTTGGACGAAATGTTCTTTATTCTTTCGTCCTTACATATATATGTATGTCAGAGGACGAAAAAATAAAGGACATTTCGTCCGAGGACATTTTCGAAAGGACATTCTAGCATGTATTCATTTTTTTCACTTTACTTTACTTTACTTTTTTGGTAACGTATTTAACTTTATTTTAACGGTAAAGTAAAGTATTTAACTTTACTTGATCGGGTAAAGTAAAGTTCTAATACTTTACTTTATTTGGTAAAGTAAAGATAAAGTGCCAGCCATAAGCTATCATGTTTGAATTTAATTTTTATTTTAGATGGATAGTCACATTATTGCCATTTTGGCTTATATCATGAGTTCTTGTTGTGTGGTTTGAAGTTATTTTATGATGGGACAATGTGAATTTTTTCAATTAATGAAAATAAAGTTACATCTAGTGGGAAAATTTTTCCATAAAAAGACATGAGCGTGCTAAGAAGAAAACAGCGTTATAATTCTATGAGAACAGAACGCCTAATGTTTGTCTTAACGGTAGGGATCTACGAAAGATCCTGTGAAATAACATAGGAAAAATTTTGTCGTCGCCGCCGCCGCCGAAAATGACCTCCTCGGCGAGAGCTCCTCGCCGCCGCCGCTGATGCCTTAAAAATTTTCCGCCGCCGCCGCCGATCAAATGATCGGCTAACACCTCTAATTATGACTTACATGCTTATAATTATAAGTTTTTCCTGTATCGGGTCATAGTTCTGTTGCAACAGATTTCGGAAATTGTCGAAAAAGAACAACAGTTGACATGTGTGCATAGACTTGTTCAAATAAAAATGTTACGTGACATCAGATTAAGTAATCTCATATGATATGATGAAAGCATTCGAGTATAAAAAAGAAAACATTGTTCTCATTTTTCCATTCAAAAACTGCAACACCATACAGATATTTCATTAATATTTGAAGACCTTCTTTATATTGATTACAGAAGACGCAATATGTCTATCAAACTCAAAAGAACAAATAATTATAATGTTGTATATTTTTCTAGAATTTTGTAAACCGTTATTCGATGAGTGATATGTTGTTCACTATAAATAAATGCTAGAAAAATGATTCTAATAACTAAACGCGAAATATAAGTAAGATGGAATTATTTTTTAAATTTTTTTTAGTTTTTTATAGGCATACAATTTTGTTTAACAATGCGAATCAATTCGTTATTGAGGTATTTTTACTAGAACGCACTATGAAACTTGCAAGAAGAGGCGAAAAAAAAAACTAAGTAAACTGTTTGTTGATTTGAATATATTTCTTTACGAAGTTAAAAATATACGCGGACATTTGCATATATTATAGTTCATAATGATACAAATTTTCATTGTTTTGTTCGACTTACAGGATAGACATTTTATTAAACCGATCATTAAGCCTACACATATTTGACTGAAAAATATTCTAAATTTTTACTTAAGTTTGCGAGATTTATATTTGTCCAAATATGTACTCGAATGTGAATGTGGTTAGCTGCTAAGAATCAACAAAAACTGCACACTCTAGACTGGTTTGTCGTCATATTTTCTACATTTAGATCGCAATGCTTTCGAGTGTCCGATTGTTAGCATTCATAAGTGAAATAATATAAACTTTCGATCAAAATATAGCATTAGAAATGCTTCAACGAATAGATTGAACCTATATTTTACTCGCTTTGAAACTATCACAATTTTTATGATCATCTCAACTTGTGTTAAAGCTAGATTATTAATCCTAATATTCGTGTAAAATCCACAGATTCAAAATTTCAAAAAAAAAAGTAAATTTTGGTCATAAGTAATCTACTGTCAGAAATTACTCTCACAGAAAAACAGTAGCAACAGGAAAATTCCGAAATTACCATTGAAATAATTGAAACCTTTTGTTTAAACATACAAAAATTTCTGTAAACACGTTATATGAACTTATTTAGCCATTCATATAATAAACAGAAGATTCTACTACTTGAAACATAGGAACTATTAGAAATTATAGAGTAATGTCGAAAATTATGATGAAATTTCGAAATTTCTCGGTAATATATTGAATAATTGAAGAATGATGTTTGTATAAAATTTCAATTTATCTTATTTCCACATGGCCTATACTAAGCAAAAAGAAAACGAAGGTTAGCATTACAAATAAGTTACTTTTTTTTCCCTTCTGTGCAATCATTGTCTTTATAATGAAAAAGAATCCTATGAGTCACTTGACACGTAATAAGTACAACATTCATCATAGAACGTATGCAAATTTAAACTGTACGCTTCAAGCAAAACAAACATTTGTCTTTTTATCGAACAGAAAAAAGTATGTGATACGATATTTTGTTTTGTTTTTTTTTTCTATTATAGAGAAAAAGAATGATGAAATTAGAATGGTTACCCAATGAAGTCTTTCATACTCTATTCGAATTTTTCGATCCTATTCAACTGATTCATGCTTTTGAAGGTCTCAATATTCGTTTTGACAGACTTCTGTTCATTTATTTTCGATCATATCGTCTAGATTTTCGTTCTATATCGAAATCAAATTTTCATCTTATGTGTGAACAATATTTACCATTAATTATTGATCATGTTAGTTCACTTTGTTTATCAGATGATGAAGAAACTCCACAATTATGTAAACATCTTATTTCTTATAATCTTACAATTGATGAATTTACACATTTACAATCATTATTACTTCAAAAAATTGATTCATCAAATATAATACTTAATATTACATCGAATTGTTTTTATCTTTCATATCTTACTCATTTGAAAATTATCGAATGTTATTTTGGATATGAAAATAATTCTCAACACTTGATTTTGAATATTTGGCGTCTAATTAAACTTACACATTGTAGTTTAGATGTAACTTTTGAACGTAGACCTACTTTTATTGAATTACAAACAATTTCAACATCAATTAAATATTTGTCAATAAAAAATTTTATATTTTCTTCTATAGAACTCAATCATTTATTGAGATCAACACCGTTTCTTCGACATCTTTGTATTCAGTTTGGAGAGAGTACGATCAGTGAATTATATTTCATTCATTGTGTTCCATTAATTACTAGTTTAAAACTTCATTTTAGTGGTTCACTATTTGTTTTAACAAATATTTTGAAAAGTATGCCTAATCTAATACATTTAACATTAGAAACACAAACAATTAATTTGAATGGAAATCAATGGAAACAAATTTTACTTGATTATATACCTAAAATTAAAATATTTCGATTTCTAATAAAAATTTTATCATTTAAACATAATAACACAGAAGAACAACTCGAAGATTTTTTAAATACTTTTCAAACATCGTTTTGGCTTGAGGAACATCAATGGTTTGTTCGATGTGATTGGCCACAACATACTAATAAAGTAATTATTCTGTATACTTTACCCTATTGTTTACATGACACTTATGTTATTTATCAAAATCGATGGTCTAAATCAACTTGTCCTAATACTCATGATTATAATTCTTATAATCAAGTAATAAATGTATTTTATAAAGGACGTATTGATAATTTATCTTTATTTCCTATATGTTATCCAAACATTCGTCATCTGACATTAAGACTTCCATTCGATAATCATTTTTGGACTATCATTCCAACATTGGATCATTTGGTTTCATTGGAAATAATTGAAACACAAGAACATAATCGATCAGAATCTCAATTGAAAGATCTAGTCAATCGAGCACCTCGTCTAGATTGTTTAAGTATTGATGCAATGTCATTTTTACTATTGATACAATCAAATATCATTCATACATCTCTTCGTCGAGTTCGATTGAAACATTATTGGGCTAAAACAAATCGCTATTTGAATGCTACACAATGTTCTATATTGGCTAATTCATTATTAGGACATCAATGTGAATTTCTTGTAATACGTGTTGAAAATCGAACAATTATTCTTGATCTTATCAATAAGATGTACAATCTTCGAATATTGAGTTGTGAATGTCAAGATGATAATTGGATCAATAATTCATTATTATCGTCTAAAGATGAACTTGTAGAATGGTTGAAAAATTCTTTTCCAGAAACATATTTCGTTAGTCGACATCGATCTCGTTTCGTGCAATTATGGATTAATAAAGAAATAAGTGCAAAGATTTCTTGTTGAGTAGACAAAATATTATTGTTTTTTTTTCGTTGATCTTGGAACAAGATTGGTCATTGTCAACTGGACAAAATGTAGGTTTATTACTGTATTTCTTTTTTCATGTTAGGTTCATAACGAGGTCTCAGTAAGACTATAAAAGTTCTAAAAGTGTTCTTGCCCATAACTCGACTTGAGAGATCCATGGGTACGAACGATTTAAAGATTTATCTAGTTTTACCGAGGTCTTCTTGTAAATCCGAGATGAGTTTCAATGGCAGGTAACAATGTGGATAATTCCCTTGTTAATTTGTTGGGACTAATCATAGTAGTTAGATGTACTTATGAAAATCGATAGAACATGATTAAAAAGATCTGAATAATAATGAAAAATATATATTTGTAATTATAGCTTTCGTATTATTTTGATAATTTGTCAAATGCGACTATATATACATATATTGATTTTTACTCGAACTTTATCAATATGTCCCCTTACTGTGCATTGTCAAGTCAAAACGATAGAAAATGATCAACAAAATCTAAAAGCATGTTTTAAGACTGTCATAGAACGAAAAGAACCAAAAACGTATCAACAAGTTTTTTTTTTTCGCAAAGGCGATGAACAAAGCAGAAAGCAATCATAGTCATTCGATTTCTCTTTAGACTAATTGATCCTCTATATCTGCATCCGTGCATCTTATCAGTGTATTTTCAATAGGAAAGAAAACTTGATAATAATCGAATGTAGCACTTGTCTAGTTTTATGGCCATTTATTGTTTCTCATTCTTCTTGTATCAACAAATGTAATTGAACATGTTTCTTATCACTTTCGATTAATCAGCAAACATAGCATAAAGTTATCATTATTGGCAGTAGGTAATCGAAGTTTAACAAAGAAGCGAATAACTGCCACGAATAGCATTGTACTAAATTAGTCAATGACAAAACATTTGATTCAAGCTTTCGCTCCTCTCTGGAAACATCATCAGGAATGATTTATTAGATTCAAAGCTAATGAAGACAACAACAACAATGGCAATAACGACAGAATTTTCACGCCTATAACAACAATCTCAGGAGCAATTAGAATCTTTTTAACTATCCGAAGACTTTCAAAGTGTGCTTTGTGTCGTTCAGTGCCTTTCCAAATGTTTCATGTGTGGGTATACTTTCTTTTATGATTCTGC